TGGTCATTCTGATGTTTGGCAAGCACCGGTATTGTCCCTAGGAGGAGCAAGAGACTTTGTATCTTTCATTGATGATTACTCCAGAAAATTTTGGGTGTATCCAATCAAGAACAAGGTAGACATGTTTGTAGTCTTCAAAATATTCAAAGGGCATGTAGAGCTTGAACCTGAAAAAAATATCAAGTGTTTGAGGACTGACAATAGAGGAGAATATACTGGTGATGAATTTGATAACTTTTGTCAACAAGAAGTATCAAGAGACAATTTACGACAGCACACACTCCATAAAATGGAGTAGCAGAGCAGATGAACATAACATTACTAGAAAGAACAAAAGTAATGTTGAGAACTATGGGGCTAGCCAGGTCATTCTGGATAGAAGCAGTCAAAAGCGCATGTTTTGTGATCAATCGGTCATCATCAATCAATTGATCTGAAGACGCCAATGGAAATGTGGACTGATAAATTAGCCGATTATTCTTGCTTGTATGTATTTGGAGGTCCTATGTATGTTATCTACAACACCCAAGAAACATCAAAGTTAGATCTAAAATCCAGAAAATATAATTTCTTAATGTATGCTGATGGAGTTAAGAGGTACCGCCTGTGGGATCTCATTGCCTACAAGATGATAATCAACATAGGTGTAATATTTGTAGAAAGAAAGGTGCAAGAGAGAAAATTATAGCACTTCAAAAGAGAAATCATAGATTACTACAGTCGAAGTTGGAGACGAACGAGAGGTTATAGCAACGGCACTAGAGCCTGAAGAAAAAATAAGTCGAGTCTAGTGTTCCAAATGTTCGATGATCAACACGGGAGAGAAGAGAACAATCTTGGCACTCGGAGTACATTATGGAGGGCAATGTTGCATATTACTTACTTACAGAAGATGGAAAGCCATCAACTTTCCATGATACATAGCCAAGAATTTTTTTTTGTGAATGGCAGTAATTCAAGAAGAAATTGAAACTTTTCATAAGAACAAGACATGCGATTTTGTTCCACTACTACAAGGAAGAACGACCATTGGAAATAAATAGGTTTACAAGATCAAACGAGATGGCAATGATCAAGTGGAGCAGTATCGTGAGAGACTGGTGGTGAAGGTATATGCTCAGGAAAAAAAGGCATTGACTTCAAAAAAAATTCTCCTGTGGTTCAACTCATAACGATATGTGCTACATTCAACTTGCATCTGGAGTAGTTAGATGTGAGCATGTGAGAACTGCATTTATTCATGGAGAACTTGAAGAAGAGATTTATATGCTCCAACCAGAAGATATTGAAGAAAAAGGAAAAGAGAACTTGGTTTGCAGGTTGAACAAATCTCTATATGGTCTCAAACAGGCGCCGAGATNTGAGATTTGGATATAGTGAATTCACTATTCTGCTGTTGTATGTTGAGGACATGTTGGTAGCAGGCTACAACATAGATAGCATTAAAGACCTGAAGGCACAATTGGTTTGGGAGTTCGAAATGAAGGACTTGGGACCAGAAAACAAGATTCTAAGGATGTAAATTTACCGATACAGAAATAATAGGAAGATTTTGTAATGACCCGGCCTCTCACCGGAGTCGTTATCTTACGTACTGTCCGCTCTGGGGTGGGCTTCTGCCCACTTATCCCCTCACGGCTTTTTGACGCATCTTCTAAGATTCGAACCCAAGACCTCCATCATATGGGAGACTTAAGTTGAATGCTGGTACCAATTGGACAACTTTTAACAAAATTCTGTCTCCACCGAACGACTCCATTTCCTCATTGCCGTAAAGGTCGACGAGATCGAGAAAATCCACTCCAACCCGTGTACGGTGTGTTAAAAGGAAAGAAGACGAGAGTCTAGCCATTTTCCTTTTTGAAAACCCGCAGATCCATTTCATTTTTTGAAAACCCTTAGCTCTATTTCCTTATTGCCGACGAGATCGAGAAATCCAATCCAACCCGTATACGATGCGTTATGTAGATTTGTTTTGTAGTATGCATTTTTTATTTGTATGCCTTATGTATTGCTATTCAAAAAATTGTAAATGGAATAATGTCGCCTTCGTGTTTGCTCAATATTATCAATTATTTGGTAACAGGACATTACACTATGGGAGAAATGAATGAAGTTCCTTCTGTGCTATCCAATAATGAGATGGTTGTTGACAATATCAACACTGTGGACAATGAACCGTTAGGAGGAGATGGAGAGCTTGTGCCTGTGGTAAGTATGATATACATGAATGAACAAGAGGTATTTGATTTTTACAAGAGATGTGCTTACGTAGTTGTCTTCCCCGTGAGGAGAAGGAATTCGAAAAAGGACGACGATGGATTTTTTAGGTATGTGATGTTAACATGTAGCCGTGAAGGTCGAAGAAGCAGTAATAGGACCAGTATTTTGAAGCCATAACCAACAAGTCAAACATATTGTAAAGCGAGGATTTCTGCTTCTACAGATAACGTCAAAACATGGAGAATTAACACCGTCCACCTAGAGTACAATCATAAAACAAGTCCTTCCAAATCCAGGTTGTATCGATGCAACCGAGAATTGAGTGTCAGTGTGAAAATGAAGCTTGAATTGAATGATATGGCAAGAATTCCATTACACAAAAGGTTTAATTCCATAGTTGTGGAATCATGTGGGTACGAAAAAATGCCTTACGTTGAAAGGGATTGTCGTAACTACATTGAACAAGTGAGGTGGTTACGACTTGGAGAAGGAGATGTTGCAGCTATACGATCGTACTTTTCAAATATGCAAAAACGGTGCTCGGGGTTTTACTTCAGTATCGATTTAGATGATGATTCACGACTTAAAAATGTATTTTGGGCAGATAATAGGTCTAGACAAGCATATAAGGAGTTCAAAGATGTTGTCACCTTTGATACCACATATTTGACAAATAAATATGACATGTCGTTCGCACCTTTTGTCGGAGTGAACCATCACGGATAGTCAACACTGCTTGGTTGTGGTTTGTTGTCGAATGAGGATACGGATATGTTTGTGTGGTTGTTTAGGATATGGCTCAAGTGCATGCATGGCCAACCTCCCTATGGAATAATTACTGATTAAGATATGGCCATGCAAAAGGTGATTGAGATTATCTTTCCGAACACAAAGCACAGATTGTATTTGTGGCACATCATGAAGAAATTGCCAGAAACGTTTGGCTATCACATCGATAAAAGTTCAATATTTTCGTGTATACACGGATTGGTATATGATTCACAAAATGTTGATGAATTCGAAGAAGGCCGAAGAACAATGACCGATACGTTTGACTTGCATGACAACGATTGGTTGTCTGGCTTGTATGAGAACAGACGTCGTGGGTACCTTGCTTTTTGAAGACCACTTTTTGGGCTGGGATGTCCACTACCCAACTGTAACGACTTTTTAGTTTCAGATGGTTGTTTCGGGGCAACCTACGAGGTTCGGGAGTCTGTTGTACATCCCGGGGGCAGGAGAAAGAAAACATATTTTGTCACGTATCGGAGCACTACATGTGAAATTATTTGCAGCTGCCATCTGTTTGAGTTTCGAGGAATTATATGCAGGCATGCGATCACAGTCTTAGACCGTAATGACGTCACAATAATGCCAGATAGGTATATAGTGCGGAGATGGAGGAGAGATGTTAGTAGAGCACACATGAGGGTTGCAGTGTACTACGACGGGTTGGCTAGTACTCCTGAACAGATGAGATATGATGAGATGTGTCAGGCATTCACCGAGGTTGCAAATCTTGCTACAAACGATGAAGGACAGGCACATGCGATAATGGGCTGGATAAAATGTCAAGCAGTAGAGCTGAATTTTTCAAAGTCGAGCAGTGGTAGTAATGTTCTTCCCCAGGCAACTACTCGTGTAGCAAGTCAACCAACTGATTCACAAAATACACAAGGTGTGAGTGTATTAGACCATAAATCATCTAAAATAAAGGGCGCACCAAGGAAAAATCGGATAAAAAGCCCGTTGGAGTCGACCTCAAAAAAAGTTAAGGTATGTCACTCTTTTAACCTCTTCAATTACAAATGCTATTTTATACTACAATTTCGTATAAATATAAATTAAATGTATATGCAGGCTACTTCGAGTAAATGCAAAGGAAAGAGACCAAAAGCTACTCATATTGATATGGAAGCCGCTGCACCTGTTGTCCAGTTAACTCAAAAAATTCAATGTTCTCAGTCGACACCATTGTCATATTCTCAAATGTTATTGGTACGTGTACAGATTTCGGGACACTATGATCCTTTTTTTTAAGTGTTATTTATATTATTCTTTGATGTAAGGTGATGCCGAAAGCCAGGTGTTTACCGAATAATTACTGTCATCTACTTTTATCCATCGATCGTCCATAGGTCCTTACTTTGGTCAGCCACCTTTACCACTGCCAGGTGCCGTTGTCATCGGAAACGGTCACATGGGGTTCAATTTTGTTCAGGTAAATGGTTAATGTTGTTGGAATTAATTGATTTATTTGGATCATTAAATTGTTATTTAATGATGTTTATTTGGGTCATTAAATATGTTATTTAATGATGTGTAATGATGTGGGCCGTTGTAATTAATTTGGGTGAATTGGAAAAGTCTCCAATATAGGCCCATATGTTATAAGCCCATTTAAGTGTATCTTATATATGGTAAGGAATCCCACATCGAAAGTTTACAAGAAAATAGACTTGTTTATATAGTGGGATGTGTGTATAAGTTATAATTTAATAAGTGACCTACAACTTGGCTAACTATTAGCTAGCCAAAGGTTAGCTAACTAGTCACCACGAGAGTGGTGCTTCGCACCACTCACGCCACGCCCCGGTCCCTGTCCCGGTCCGGGCCCACGCACGTCGCAAAGTACGCATTGGGCGCTTTAGAGGCGCACTTCGCACGTACGCATCGTCGCTAGGAGCCTTATAGCTTTCAGAAATGGAGACATGGCGATGAGAGGCTCGATGAGTTGGCATCCTAGGTGGCACACACGTAACAGGTCACGTCACTTCGTCCTACATGGCGGTTGGTCCTGTTGGACGTCGCGTGGCAACTGCATGGCTGGTGACTGTTCAGAATTGGTGAATAGGCATGATGAATGGACACTACATTTCGTGGTTTAATCTGGTCCGTCAGATTATGAAAGAGTGCGATCCAATGGCTAAAATAGATCAGATCAAGTGGTGCACCAGTTCATGAAATGTTACACACCCTTTCAAGGAGACACTTCAATCTCTATAAATAGAGACCTCCAAATTCGTTTTTTGGACACCAAAATCAATTAATATATTCTTGATTTCTAAATTCTTCTCGCTCCATATTCTGCTAAAATTCTTTCGATATTTTCGTGATTATTTCGTTCAAGTACGATCATTATTTGGTTCGACCGTCAAGGTTGGTATTGTGCAATATCGACTTTGGGAAAGCGTTGTATCTTGGGAGACAGACGTCCATAATCCCGTTTGCACGTTGTTGGGGGGCGAAATCTGTCTTAAGGAGATTTGCTTTGGCATACCTCGCTTCATCTTCTTCTTTTTTCCGTTTTTCCTGCTCTTTTATTTGTTCTTTGGATTGGGATAGTCGAATTTCCGACAACAAATGTCTATCATGTCTACGGATCCATAAAATAGGTAATTTGCTGCTTAGAAGTTTATTAGTGTTGGTGGATACTAATTCATGTGTAATGGTCCATAAAATAGATACGTTGATGAGAACGGGTAATGCAAGTGGTTAAAATTAAACAATGAAGTTTGTGAAACACACATCATTTTTCTATGAATATTAACAGTTTTGTGATTTGTTGCTGCTTCTATTCTCAGGTAAATGTTATAGAATGTTCCCAAAGAGCTTCACACATTGCAAACCATTCCCATATCCTCCCCCATAACGGGCCAGTGACGTCGATGGGAAATAGCACACGAGAATGAAGATGAACTAGTTCATTTGTTATGACAGTACCAAGTTTGTTACTTTAATGTTTTTGAACCAGTTCCAGATGTTTGTTAAGTACTTGAGATTTTTCAATATTGTAGTTCTTAGTGGAAACTTATATATTTGTGCTCAATTCAGATCTTGTTTCAGTTTTAGTTGATGAAAAGTTCATAGACTTGATGAGCTTTTTGTAAGTTTATGACGTGGTTATTTGTAAGCTGTGGTAATGTTAGATTATTTCGAAGGAAAAGCAGGGGATTTCAGAATATGCTTCTTCTCTGAGTTTGTTAAGTTGATATCATTAACCAAATGATTATGAGGTTTATAATCAACTACATAAAAGAAACTTTTTGCCTTTAATTTTCATACTATATATTTGTGCTCAATTCAGTAAAGCCATTACACTACAAACTGAGGCACTAAAAAGGGGATAAACCACAAAACATTGTCTCATTTCATAAGCTACAAATAGAGTCACTAAACACAGGATAAACCACAATAAAGAGGCTCATTTCAGTTCCATTTTTCTACCAACAATTAAACTTCAACATGGGATAACACATTTTAACATGGGTTAAACCAAAAATACATAGGCTAACAAAGAGAAAATCCCATTCCTTCCATACACGTCAATCATGGGCTTTTTCTTTTCCATTGACGTCTGCACTTTGGTTTCCCTTGCGAAATGTCACATTCAATGAAATCTCGATGTCTCATTGTTCAGATATTCGAGCTAGACTGTCGAACAAGTTTGGCAAACCTTCGACTTCTTCTTCGACGGGTGCAGTATTCACTACCTCAGTAATAGTACTCGAATCACTGCTTGATGCTTCATTTACAACCCAATCATAATATCCACAATTGATACTACAAGTTTTGAATAATCGGCATTTGTTATTAGTCTCCTTTTCAACCTCAAAGCATTTCTCCCATTCGTGTGCACACCATGGACATCGTCGTTTTATAGGGCAATCCCTAAATAAGTGCTTCGTGCTTCTACAGCCATGACAAACACCAAAATTCCGTCCTCCCATCCTGAACGGAAAATCCCAGAATGAAATCAATTATGAAGTTCATTGCAGTTAGCATATTGTCCCCATTGAAGTTCTTTACTGTTAGCATACTAATCATAGTTTTAATTTTAAATTTAAGTGATGAAATTGACAATCTGATAACAAATCTTTTAATAAATCACAAGATCAATCAATTAACCAATCGGAAAAAATAATATTGGAAAAAAAAATTTTAAAACAGCAAGAAAAAATATGACAAATACAGAATATTTACCCTGTTGAGACAAATAAAGATTCCATCGCCCGGAGTTCGATGTGAGTACCGCGATTGTGGACCGAGGCGACGGCCGGAGTTGGAGATGTTAGTACGGCGTCTGGGGATGTAGATGATGGCCGGATGTGGAATGCGATGGCTTGAGGTGGAGGTGGTTTCCGAGGGTTAAAATCGACGAAAAGGGGAAGCCCATGATAGAATTCAAATTTGGGGTTCTATGTCACAGCCGGTTCGTGGACGCCGGCGCCGGACGGAGTTGAAGTGAGTGCCACTTCCGGCGATTTCTAGGGTTTGAAAAGGAGAAGAATGGGAATGGGAGCGTCTTGAGCGTTTTTCGTTTTTGGAAGGAAATGAATTGTTTGTCTCAATAAATCATTTGCCAGTCATTCTGTAAAAGCTCTGTGAAACTCCTTCTGTAGTGTAGCGCGACCGTATTTTTTAACAACATATTTCACATCATATCACTATTTAAAATACATTTTTTTCAGTTATATCCATCAAACACACCCCGACAAAGACTTAAAACAAGATTTGAAAATATTTTTGTTCTTATACTATTTAATCTTGTCGTGTAGCACTAAAAAACATTCTTTTCTGGGAAGGATCAACCCAAGACACGCAAGCCTTAGCAGAGATCATCGGCCAAAACGAATCAATAGTTGTAACTGATTAATCCAACAACCCTCTTCTTGATCTCCTCTGGATTGGCACCCACAAGCTTATCCACCAGATCCCCTTCCTTCATGAACAAAAAAGTGGGCATGGCTTTAATCTCCATCTTTGATGCTAACTCCTGAGAAAACCAAACATGATTCTCAGATAATAACTATGATTTTTTGTGCTAAGATTGTATATCTGGCTGTATATTACCTTAACCTCATCGACATCCACCCGTAGAAACAAAATACCATGGTGACTTGAGGCCAGTCTTCTGAAAAACGGCTTCATAGCTACTGAAGGCATGCACCATGACGCCGTAAAGTGTACTATAACCTGCAGTGTTTATGAAAATCGTGGACGTGTGAGGCCTTTCGATGAAGAAATAAAACTAGCATGCACAGTTGCACACTAGACACGTGTTGAAGACTAAGTTAACATAAATATTTGTCTTGTCTCTAATAGATTAACCATAACGCCTCATCTTCGTTCATAGAAACATCAAGATACCTAGTGAGGGATTAAAAAAAATGGCTACATCGAAACTTACAGGACAGCCTTGTTTTTTAGCTTGAGAAGTGAAGAAATCCCATGTTTCTTCAGAGTCTATTTTGACAACTCGAGACTTCATTATTTTCTGATGATGTGCCATACGAAAAATCGAAAAAATTTCTTTGAATTGAGTAGCATGCAGTGTTCAATTTATTCTGGGATTTTAACAGGGATTCAAACGGATGGGATCAAAGTAGGACCCTCTATGAAAGCCAGCTCGACTCTATCCAATTCTTTGGGCTCTGTTAATCATGCATAACCAAAAAACAATCAGTCTAGAGAAAATCCCAATTCTCCACGTCTCAATAATGTGAAACAGTAACGACATAAATCGAGCCTTTCTTAGGATAAATTTGAAGTTGGCTACATTTCGGTTCCTTCTTGTTCCATCTTTAAGAACACCAAAGCAATAGACTTCTATCTGTCATTTCTTCTAAGGCCTCTTCTGATTTGAAATCTTGGTGCATCGTATGTCGATCCATGTTGATGAAACAAACTGAAAACCCGTATTTCGTGGTTCTTTGTTTCTCTTAGCTATATGGTTCATAGGCTAGCACTCCATCCTCGCTACACAGTTGTTCTGTTTTTAAATTCTTGGTCAGTTTCGTGGTGAACTTACGTGCCTGCAACTTAACAATAATTACGATTCTTGACTATTATTTTCGAAAGATAGCTATTTTAACAACTAAATTTTATCAATAATGTCTTGCAATGAATTTGCGTATAGTTCTCACCAGTTTCTACTTCAAGACAACATAGCAGCCACCAAAATTCAATTCTGAGACAACCTAATTTTCAATATGTCCCACATGTAGGCCTCTCAAAAATATGGATTTTTCTGCAATACATAGAGTACACAAATATTTACAAAATGACTAATATATCCCCCCAAAAGGATATCTATTTGGTGGTTAATAAAAGCCTGCAATTCTCTGAAGATAAATCAAGACAGCCAAAAAAAAAACCTTCTTCACTCGAGAACTACTATGGCAATAACAGCGAATTTCAATGGAGTATTTGAAGCTCTGTCTAACATTCCCAAGTTACACCGGGTCGAGAAAATGCCAAAGAAATCAACAATTACATGCTTTCTTAGCAGGAAAAAGGATGAAGTTGAAGACAACAAAGTGAATACTACAAGAAGATTGGCAATAGGCCTTGCTTCAATAGCACTCTTTGGAAATACAAGCATTGGAAATTCTCTTGCAGAGGACAATGGATTTTGGCTCACAGGACCTTTACCTGTACCCTCTGTTAACAATAGTGAGTTCTATACTTTATTTTCTATTTTGACTTGAATGTAAGAAAAGCTATAATCAGAAAGACTACTTATAAGTTTTCTTTGTCGTAGAAATTGACAATGAAGAGACAGGAACTCGTTCTTTTCTCAAGAAAAGAATCTATATAGCTAATATTGGAACTAAAGGGAGAATGTACAGATTGAAAAAATATGCTTTCGATCTCATAGCATTGGGAGATATGATAGGACAAGATACTTGGAATTACATAAGAAAGTATCTGTGCCTTAAGTCGACATTTATGTACTACGATTTTGATGAAGTGATCTCCGCAGCAGCAGTAGATGATAAGAAATCTCTTACGGAACTTGCCAATCGGTTGTTCAACAACGTTGAAAAGGTAATCTAATCATAACTAATCGTTCATTTCCCTCACACAATTTATTTTAGAATGATGTTAGCTAATACCATTGGTGTTGAACGCCAATTTAGATGTCAGCATGTCATAAGTCCTAATAAATAAATCATAAATTTCTCGTAGTTAATTAAACCTATAATTTGATGACACTAGTGCTGGCATCTAAATCTGTGTTAAACACTAGTAATCCTGAATAGCATTACTTTTTATTTTAACTTTTACTGAAGACAAATTTTGGCAGCTTGAAAATGCAGTGAAAAGGCAGAATCTTCCTCAAACAGTGTCATATTATGCAGATACAACATCAATTCTCCAAGAGGTCATGAATCGAATGGCATAAATTTGTAACTCAGAAGAATTTATGGATCGTAAAACATTTGATTGTCCATTCTGTGTAAGACGAAGAGCAGGTGCATTCTTCGAATCACATATATCATATATCACAAAAACAAGCATATATATGTAAGACAGTAGATTGCATTGAGTAGTACTGAACTATTTTCTCATTCAAATACAAATTGCATTTGATTTTCCTTCACAAATTCGTAGAAAACATTAAATATCCGAATGTACACGAATCCATAGATACACCTCGAAGACAGAAAATGGCAATTCCATCGGTATCAGCGATACAAAGACAGTATAGTCGTTACATACATATCTCACGTGAATGTTGTTAGAAGGGCTTGTTGTTCTTGGTTAAAAATCAAATGCCATTGAATTACAAATAACACACTTTCCTAAATCTAAAACAGTTATTATATAAAAAAAATTTAACCAATGCTAAGGCGAGAATCAGTAGATCTGAAGTTGGTTTGGCGCCTGGGGATACCAATCTCACAAGCATTTACACGTGCTGCAAACCGTAGTGAACAAAGTGATTCGCCAACAGATGAAGGATCCGGTGAAACATTGACAAACATCAGTGTCTTTGAATCTCCACCTAAACAAGGCTGAAAAGGACAGGAAAAAGGAATAGCATTAATCCTTTTAATCCAACAAAAATTGATAAATCACAAATATTCGAGTTAACATTGCAAGACCTTTATGTGATTTCACATTTTTTCTTGTTTAATATTTTTTAACAATATACTTGTTTTATTCGGTATTCTATGCATCAATCAGAAAAGTTGAACATTTAGATTTTTATTATGGCTAAGCAAGTAAAGTATTGGTAACTTAGAGCTTGTTTGGAAAGGATTAAAATTCAATTATAATTGAAAATATAGCCGTTATTGGGTCCCACTCGTCTAATAAAAGTCAACTCCAACGACTATATTTTCAATTTTAATCTGATTTTAATTCCTTCCAAACAAGCTCTTAATCTGCACTGTTTAGTTTTTTATTAATTTGTTAGCAACATCAACAAATGTTATGCGAGTAATATATAACATAAAGTCAACCCGGAAAAACTCAATCAGCTAAGATGTTATATACCAACTAGGCAGGCAAAAGGATAATGAATCTCATCCACACGTAACTAATGATTGAGCTTAGGGCGTTATAGCATTATTTTGCCCATGATAAATGAATGTTAGTGCAGGTAAGCCCTAAGTATCGGCCTCAACTAGCCATAATCATTGCAATGATTTATCAGCAACATCACCAAATGACTCCTATACAATATAAAATGAAGACCAAACAGCAAATTTCAATCAGATAAGATGGTGTATTCTAACTAGGCAACTAGAATTAAACTACTACCAGGAAAAGCTCATTTTAGCACCAAGTGCACTATTCCAAGTTTAGACAAGTCCAGTAGTCTTGTCCCATTCAAGTGGCAATATAACCTTTCTCAGCGGACAAAAGGACAATGAATCTTATCCATAAGTAACAATTGATCTTAGGGCATTATAGAATTATTTTGCCCATGATAACCGAATGTTAATGCTGGAATGCCTTAAATATCTACCTCAGCTAGCCATAATCAAGCCTTGACTTAATTTGTTCCAACATCATTTTTTCTCAAACTTGCTCATATGCTACCGAGGTATCAGTAATGAAAATTACCTGGAGAAGATAGGTTAGCTTTGAGTTCCTAAATGGAACGTGCTCCTCCTTCTTGGCCAAGGCAAATATAACATCACTTAGTGACGATAAACTCTTGTTGATAGCCTGATTGTTACTCAATGAGAAAGATAATTTAGGACAAATCTGCACTGTGAAAAAATTCAAAAATAATGGAGATGCTTCTTATTCAGTTATTCTAATACCTGAGTTTCTTTTAGGCGGTCCCCTGTAGATCCACTCTTAGAGAGACGCTCACTACCAGCAAGGTCAATTAAATTGAGGATGCCTTGCACTTGTTGATCAGTGCCCTATTGCCACAAAAAAGAACATAAAATCTGTGGCCATGTTTGTGTAGACAAAGATAAAGATGGAATCACGACAATAATGCAACAGAAAGCAGCTAGGTCCATTTACCTCATTAACACCCATTATTCGTAGTGTAAAGACAAAATGACTCCTTGAAGACTGTTCATTCATTTGAGTCTTGCCAACGGATCTGAAGAAATTGAATATTCCCGTAAGAGACAAAAGCTTAAATGTGTAACTGTAGTCCAAATTGTGCACAATGGTGAGTCCATAGAACTAAACAGATATCTGAACTTTTGTATGAAACTGGATGGAATGCACCTTTAAACTTTAAAAATTGACATTTAGAGTAAGAATACATGCTTGATCAACATACAGAATGGTGCGAAATATTCTTTCATTACCTGCTATGCGCTGCCCGCTCTAATAGATATGAGACCTCCTTGCTACTGCAAACATCAACAACTGTAAGATCAGAAACATGAGTGTTTCCATTAACATCATGTTTTATAGCATATTGCTTTCCCATGTTCTCCAGCCGAGGTGCATCAAACCCTGATCGATTTGTAGCTAACAAGTCTCGTATTGTTTCATTGTATATTTCAAGCATTGACACCTAAATAATCAGATACGAATAATAATTAGAAGGCAGGATAAGCAAGCTAAACTAGTAGACATAAAAAATGAGAATGGCAATCACTACACCTGCATTTCATATTTCCAGCCTTGAGATTGAAGAGTTTGCCGGGTCTCAAAAACTTGTTCTAAGGATCGGGGAATCAAACCTTTCTGATCAGGTGTACCTGGCTTGCCCATCATCGTAAACGTCTTGCCAGAACCAGTTTGTCCATAGGCAAAGATACAAACCTGAAACAGCACAGTTATCGGTGACCGTTAGGATTTTAGACTGACCAGTAAAAAGGAGTGAAAATAATCTGCATGCATATCTTGTGAAATCAAGCATTCTTCTGTAGCCACAAGACAGATCATAAATAGGAGAATCATAGCACAATCTTCAAGGGCTATAAGAATTAGAAAAGCAACCAAACAAATTCAAGATGTAACTGGTCAGCCTATCATCTTGAGTTCATGGACTCAGATCAATAATCTTCATATTAGAAGAAGCATATTTACCAGACAACAGTTACAGCAGTATGAAATGTTAACATAATCTAACGGCTAAGAAAGGTCATCATCCAAAATTGTGCGAAGTTCGTATGCAGCTACCAACCTCAAGTTTTGAAGTAAGAACGCGATAGTACTCTCTATTTGTAGTTCAGAACAAATGATAGATTGGGAGATGTAGGGAAAACGTTACCTTGTACCCATCCAGAGCACTTTGAACAAGTTGTGATATCTCAACAAAGACATCTTCTTGGGAGGCTTCAGGTGTAAACACTTTGTCAAAAGTAAAAGAATGCTTTTGTCCTGATGAAAATCGGAAAATTGATGAAAAGAAAGTACCACGATAATGAAAAATCAAAATCCTGTGATTATATCCCTGTGACTCTATTTCAATGAAAACCCACCATTTTGCGTCAAATCAATGCCTCGATCGAGTGCTTCCATTGCTATAGGGAAGGAGATAACTTTAGCATCAGTTCCAACCCCATCATCAGACAATAGAGGTCTCACTCTACAGAAAACACGGATATTCCCTTTTAACTCCTGTATTGACAGAGGATTCTAGTTAACACCATCTCATTGCATCTCATTGATGGAAGGAATGCAACAATTTTCTATCAAAATTCAGATAGGCTAAAACTAAATGTGAATATGTACAAAAACTTTTACCAGTATAGTGTTGTGTAATTTCTTCCGAACCTTCTCTCCTTCTACAATTTTTAATTCTGCTTCAGCCACACTATTCTGTAACTCAAGAAGGAGTGCTTTTTGCTCCTCAAACTCTGTTTTTGTCTCCATCGCTGATACATCACACAGCTAAAAAATGACAAAAAATCAAATAAAAAGAGAGTATTTGAACCAGTAATTATCAACAGGTAAACCCAAACAAATAGTAATATCAACAAAAGCTGAAAATGAAAGACCAGGAACCTGCAACTTCTTTTCTGCAAAAGCTAGCTGCTCCTGCAGCCGTCTTATTTGCTCACTTTGAGACAAACATGTTGACTGAAAAAAATTACATGACATTTGTTGGTAAATGCATTTCCTGTAGTTGTTTGAAAAGCATTACATATGGATAAAAAAAAAAAAAACCTCCAGCTCATTTGATTTTACAGTCAGGTTATCTATCTCCTCAAAAGATTTCCCAGTGAACTCTTTATATTTTTCTACATCAGCTGATAAAGACTGGACTTGTGACAACTGGCGATCACGATCATCTCTTACTTGTTGCATATCACCCCTCAAGCACACAACTTCATTTCCTAGTGCTTCCTTCTGTTTGATCGCCTCATCTTGCAAAGACTTGGAAATAGCAAGCATCATAAACCTTTGTCAGACAGTAGGAAATAGCAGTAGAGTGCTTTAATGAGACTTGTTAAATCTGGATGGTCATATTAACAACAAAGCCCGGAGAAATGTCATGCATTCAAAGAAATTAAAAAGTTCTGCAAAAAATGGAATATAGATGCGTCGATCTTTGTGATCTTCGTCAATCTCCATGATCTCTATCGATTATAATAAATACAATTATATATACAATTATGTTAAGTCATAATCTTCGTCAATCTTTGTTATCTTCGTCAATCTCCATGATTTTTATCAATCTCACTGACGCCCCCCCTCAAAATAATACAAAAGAACTCAAAGGTCCAACTTCAATAGGCAGCCCAAAACTAACCACACATATGGGAAACAATGAAAAACTCCTAGAATCAAATTGAACTCGTATCCCAAATTATATTGCCATACTTCTCACACTTTAATCGGCCACCCTATTGTCGCTGAATTAGATTTCTTTTCTTTCATAATGAGAAGAGAAAAAAAATTCATCTTACTGGGAGCTTTTTGAAAAATAAAAAATCTATATTCCTAGTTTCTTTTTTTTTTTCTTTTTATTTA